AAGATGCATAGAGTAGACAGATAGGAGACAGTCACTACTGAAAATAAGTTTCGGCTACTTAAGGTCACGTTCAAGTCAGCCAATGAGAGGAATCAGATTCCGAAGAATGCTCACAGACTTCAAGGATCTAGAGTGTTCTTGTGAAAGGACCTGGCTATGGCTGATCGAATAAAAAGACGAGTAGCAGAGGCAGAACTAAAATCCAGATTAGCAGTTGGAGAGCAGGATCTGAGAGTAGTTGGTTTTCGTATAGCGAGATTTCGGCGACAAATGATGCCAAAGCCTCTATGGACAAGACGGAAACTCAGTTAAGTAGTTTCGTTGTCTCGCACACAAATGCACACAGTCTTATAAGCAAGTGGATTGAGCTTAGTAATGTGACAGGCAACGAGAGCCCTGACATCACTGCTATCTCAGAAACGTTGTCCTCTTCTTGGATCAGTGATTGTGAAACACACGATGCCCCATCCCTTTTAGAAGTGGCGGGTTTGCAAGCAAAGGTGGGGGCGACATTCTTTACAATAAAAATAATTTAACTGTAAAGGCCGTAGAAGCAGTTGCACGTGAAATGGAATATGTGAAATGCCGCGCCGCAGACTAAAATTCAGGGGGCAAAATGTTGACGTGATCGTAATATATCGAAGACCTCATTGTGACAAAAAAAGTGTTGGAGTATTGCCACCCACCTTGGTGATGAAGCATTACAAAGAAGCCCACAACAACTGTATCGCTGCTATCCGTCGCCAGGCTGCATTGCAACATCCGAGGAGGTTATTTTCCCGTGTGAAATATAGAAATGAGACGTGTTGTGGTATACCCGTCTTAATCAGTGAGACAGAAAATGACCATTTGATTGAGGACGATAGGGAAAAAGCAGAAGCCATGGCTTGATATTCTGCTGAGGTCTTCACACATGAATCTTATGGGAACACTCACGCATGCTCTGATATGGAACACCTTACCTAGGGAAGTACAAGCATCAGACACTGACTGGGTTTATAAAACAGCTTAACTCTACACTACAGGACAGCACCATAAAAGCACCACTAATACTGTTGCTAGAACTACAGACATATTAGGAACTCTCAATATATAAACGATTTACAATCTGAGAGGTGCAGAGGCTACACCTGTTTTGTCGTTTTTCTACCAGACTTTCAGATGGTTGCAGCATGAAGGTATCATTAGACTATGAAGAAACTGGACTATGATGAAAACTTACCGAATAATCTGGAAATCTGAACGCTAAACGATCGAAGGTTTCAACTCGGATCCTCGAATACCCACATCATCAAGATAGCCTTTAATGATGGCAACAGGACACAAATGAGGAGTACACATTGCCAATTTTAAACATTCCACTTCTTTTCAAAGCAATGAAACTATGCTGCCACGAAAATTACTGTCCAATGAGCAAGAATTACTAATCTCATTCACTCATTTGACCCTTTCACCATATGAACATATATCAATCCTCGAATTACTCAAATTTCTGAACGGTCATAATGGCATCGAAAATCTGTACAGACAGTAAAATCCAGATCAACTCACCTATTAACTTTAAAGTGAACATATTCACAATAACGATATGCGACTGACTTCTCTAGTACTTCATCTAACAGTGAATATACGTCCTTGACAATGCTGCATACCTCAAGATGAACAGTATGGAAAACTGAGTGCCACTGGTCCGCAGTCTTTTCAAATGTTTATACCTTTGCACCACAAAATCTAATTCCAATGGAGCAAATCTATTTTGCTGTGAATGATAACACTGTAATAGATTTTCATCTGGATTACGTGGAAACTTACAGGTTCCCAACACTGTCAGTGTGGGCTCTTCTGGTACCCGAAGCTATAAGCATAAGAATTTATGGTAAAATAGACGTTTGTGCAGCGTAACGGGGCGTCGCGAAGACGAGTCAAACAAGTCGACTGCTTGTGACGGAACTTTAGAATTTTGCGCCACCTGGGCGCTACTAGTGGTGAAAAAAGGTCTGAAATCGATCCAAACCTTAACACTCCCTATACGGTGAAAAGTTGTATTTTCTTGTTCACTTCATGACTTGTGTAATCTTCTGACGTCTTCAATCTAATTTAATGACCTCCTACCATGTCCTCTGAGGCGTTCCGACCCAATGGGAAGGGCAAGGGAAGATAGATCATGTCCGAAGTCATTTCTTAGAATCCTGTATAGCATGATTAGGTCTCCCCCCTGTAGACGATAGGACAAAGTGAGGAGGTTTAGCTCCTTGAGTCGATCCTCATAGGTGAGGCTGGCCATCGCGGGGACCATTCAAGTGGCTGCCCCCTGAACTCTTTCTAGAGGGTCTGTGCCACCTTTCGGACAAGGGTTAGCCGCCTGTGTACATTTTTCTAAGTTAGACCCAACTAATGACGTGTATAAGACGGTGAACATATCACCGCTTATTTTCGTGAACGTTCTACGTAATGCCCATAGAGTCCTAAAACTCCGAGCTGCTACCAGTCGACAGTGAGCCGTGGTTTTCGAGCTGGTGCCCACCGTGACTCCTAGCTCATTGAGGGTCAGCACTGATGGTAGAGCAGTCCCATCAATATCGTAGGTGTTGCTGTGTGTGTGCCCTATGTGCATGCTCATAAACCTGCGTCGATAGGCATCAGCAGTTCTCTGACTAGGTAGACAAGCTCTTCAGGCCTGCTAGAAGCGCACACATATCCTCACCGTTCCTGATTTCCCGCCATATTTTTACATCAGCATAGGGAACCATCAGGGTTTTCCTGATATTTGGCGGCTTATTTACGTGTAGGAGAAACGGTATGGGGCCCGGGACTGTGCCTTGTGACACCCCACTCTCAACCGACTTCCAAGAGGAGAGTTGAGGATCGATCCTTACTCTTTGTCTCCTACCAACAAAGTCTCTTATCCCTGCTGGCAGGCTCTTATTGATTCCAAAACGTTTCAGTTTCCCGAGCAATCTGAGATGAGGCACTTAGTCGAAAGCTTTACTAAAGTCTATGAAAATGGCATCGGCAGGCATTCTGTTATCTTTGGTCGTGTTGTTCGCGTTCGGTTACTCAGAAATAACGTTATTTTTCCTTCATGCAGAGACTCAATACAAATGCGAAGCATTATGGAGATGCATCCAAATCCAAATCCTAGGCCGTCTTGCACGGGCGACTAATAGCGCCAACTTAAGAACCCTTTCCATGGCCGTACAAGCATGTGCGGAGCCTAGTCTGAAAATACTTTAACCCATTAGCGCTTTGAGCGATGAAGAAAGGCACCGGTCCACTTCATAAGGCTCAGAGAATGGTGGCAAATGTTAGTGCGGGACTGCTCCACAAGTCATAAAAACCAGCCACGCAAAGTGGACCTCTTCATTCCGTAGTCTTCTTTAATATATTCGTTAGGGCCCCTCATCACAGGTGGAGCATGAAACTAGGAGTTGTGGAACGACTAGCGAACCAAGCCCTTGAAGTGAAGGGTATCTTTGTTGGTGAGCGACAAGGAGCAAGCATCAGTTGTCAGCTCCTCTCTTGGAAGTTTGTGCAGAGCTAAGTGCCACAAGGCATAGTCCTGCCTCTCCCGCAATTCCTCAAGCACATAAGTAAGCTGAAATTGACACCGATTCTCTAGAATGACTACGCAATGGTTTAGTGAAACATAAAAAATGACGATGAATCACGCATAAATTAGAAAAGGTGTAAACAATTTGTAAACCTGGTCAGAGAAGATGTTGATGCCTGCCAACTCAAATAAGCGCGCGGAGGTGTGCGAATGGGAAGTAAAAATAGCGCCAGTTACGGTGTTGGTTGATCCTTCTGTCCTCAGTACTGAACCCGAATGGCACATCGATCACATGTGATCGTGATTTAAGGACGTTGTTGAGCTGTGGGTTAACCTCTGTCTGAGGTTCAGGGCTCTTTGGGTATTTTAAAGAACTTTCCCCTAAACAAGTTGTGATACATGCACAACCTTATATATGCCATCGGTTAGATAGAAACTGGTAGACTGTCCACAAATGAAAAGGCTACGCCTATGATGCCTATGATGGCTAACCGAGTTTGCGATGGATAACTTCGAGATCTGAAACTTTTTTTGGATCCTATTGCAGACATAGGAGGGCTCTAGTTATGGAGTACGGAGTTGCAAGAAATGACACCGGGCGTTAAGATATTGCCTGTATTCGAAATACTTTATTGTCATTATTATTTTTCTATCATAATCTTTATTCCCTTTTCCTTCTTAGAAGGTCGGAACCCCTCAGAGGATACACCAGAAGAGTGGAAAAGCTATGGGCAAACGACTTCTGCGTAAAGTACTGGCTTTCGCATCGGACAATCAATCCTTAAAACCGACTCCCTGTAGAATTGGTGTCAGCGTCAGAGGTTGGCTTCGTTAAGTGACAGCCGGACAAACATGGATACCTGCTGTAAAAGGATCAAGCCCGGCCAATATCCTTCTATCCTCAAACTGCAAATCTGGGCCTAACCCAGTCCATCCAGACAATTAAACACTACAACAGGCCTGCAGTGGCACTTCTAGAGGAAAACCAAACACGCTTCCAACAAAGGGCAGCTATAAAACGTTACCAAGGAATGTAGTGCTCTGTACTAGCCTATAGTCTGCAAACAAAGACCATCAGAGAGACAATCACTTACTTCGAGGCTATGGGCAAATAAACCGAAAAAACTTTTGCAGCCACAGAAGCGGCACATCAGAGCGAAAATAACAGGTCCTCAGGACCTAGACACCAGAGTTCAGGAACTACATGTTCCCTCTAATGGCGCTAATGACATTAGATCAAAAAACTTACGCGAGATAAAATGAAATATTTTCACAGGTTAAAAATGAAAACCACATAATGGATGCTGAAGGTTAAATGTTAACAAGAGAACCCAGTGTCAATCGGTTTTCGACGCACCGAAAACTGTATTTACGTTACTTCGTTTAAAGTTGTTTATCTGCCCATTGACCTTGTCTGTTACTATGGTCCTCATTTTAAATATGTAAGCAGATGGGTAAAAAGTCGGCAAAAGATAAGTCTCCAAAAGTCGAAGACACACACGTCACTTCAGATCCAAGTAATAAAATGAAAGTCACTTTATTGAATGCTTTAGAAAATTATGTTGCGTGTGGCGTACTGGAGTATGATTTCCCTGGTATGTGCAAGCAAAACGACATCAAACATTGTCCTATTGTAAGGGCTAGACAGCCCCTGATCTCAAGTCAACAGACAGTGGGTTTCAACAATGCTTAAATTCAGTCGTTTGATCACATAGATTACGTCGCAGCCCTCGTCGAAACGTTCGAAGGATGACAAAAAGAGTGCTCATTCACAACAGTCGACAACACCTAAATCGTCTAATGGTATGTTTAGCTGCTCATGCATAAATTTGCTACATTCACCTTCGGAAAACTTTTATGCTGCCAGTACGTCATATGTGTATATAGATGCATAAATACGCGCGTATGTATGCATACAGTCATATAAATAGTTCATCAAAATTGCAAATGTTTCCATGTTATACATAATGAGAAAAAATGGAGCAGATTGATTTAAAGGAGAACAAACCGCAGGGCCAAGAAATCATGGAATAAGGGTGACAAAACTTTGTAGAACATTACGTTTTGACTCGTGTTTTCAATGCGATTCTTATCCATGGCCTTTCAGCTTTTGGGTATTGTCCTGGTGCGAACTTGACAGACACAAAGACCAGTCACTAACTATTCGGACTTGTTATGTACCCACGAACACGGGACCAAGAAAGAACACAATAGTGTAGTCGGATGGAATAGTATATTTGGGTGGTTGTGCCAAGATACTGGTGCTTTCCAACTAACTGGCTAGTGAGTCGATTACGAGCAGTGCAACGTAACATGACGGCGTGCCAAATGGCGAGGATGCTCGACCGGGTGCCCTCAGCTTAGCGAGTTAAGTTAAACTATCAAGGTCAGCATCAATGTTGAATCTTGTCAAACCCTAGGCTATTGATTTTGGTGAGGTGTATGACGCTACAGATCACTCCCCCTCTGGTAGACGATACCAGACGGAAATAAAACTCAGCGGTTCTTCCACTGGTATAACTTTTCCGATGAGCTCACTTCGAGAAGTGGCCCCTGATTGTCTGAACTTATTCTAGGGTGTCGTGGCAAGTGAAAAATAAAATACAATAAATCGAATTGTACGTCGATCGCGGTCCTCAGTTTCTTTTGACGTTCCGTTTAGTGCTCGTTGCACCTGAAATATAAATAAAAGTCTTTAATACCACGAAAATGTTTCGCGAAAATGGGAACTATTTATATATAAATATATTGAAATAAAGTTTACGCTTATTTCCTTTTTTTTTAAATGTTTCAATACGTGGTGGTAGTAAAAAAACTGACATTAAAAGGCAAAGTATACAAGGATTTGCGCGTTGCCGGTAAATAAGAAAAATGGTGCCCCGAAATAAATGTTGAATTAAAAAAATATGGTTGGCACATCTTATTTCACACCACCAAGTTGAATACGACTTCAAATACTCCGGGAACCTAACAGTTTGACCTGATCGTGTTTTCTGTTGCTACGATGGTTGTTATAACTGTGCATTACCAGGCACATCGTCAAGAATTTCGATGATTAGGCTATCCGTTGGTCAGCTATAGCGAGCTGAAATGATACTTATAATGGGGTTGCCTTCGAAATAAGCTGGTTTCAAGCAGTCGATACTAACAGTATCTTCACATCCGTTTTGCTCTATTATATAGAATTTCTCGTGTCTCTTGATCACTTTGAATGGCTCATCGTAGGGTGGTTCAAGTCGTCGACGGACGGCATCGTGGCAGATGAACACGTGTGATGTCTTTCGTAAACCGGGATGAACGAAGACATCAGTCGTTTGAGGTCTAATCGGAGAAGGCCTAACTGAACGCATTGCGTTTATAAGCCTAGTCACGTAAGATGCTTTGTCGGAAACATGTTTGAAAGTTGAAGGGGAAACAAATTCGCCTGGTAGGCGGAGAGTGGTCTCATAGACGAGTTCTGTGGGGGTGCAGCCAGCATCAACTTTCAACGCGTTACGAATACCTAGTAGAACTAAAGGCAGAGCCTCGGTCCACTGAGGTATGTTTGCAGCTGAAAGGGAAGCTTTCAGCTGTCGATGGAAACGCTCTACCATGCCATTTGCTTGTGGATGGTAGGCTGTCGTTCGGAACCGAGTGCAACCTAAAAGTGCAGTTAGAGCGTGAAATAATCCACACTCGAATTGGCGCCCACGGTCGGTTGTGACGTAAGATGGACATCCGAAGTTCGCGATCCATCTTTCGACGAAAACACGAGGTACTGTTTCAGCAGTAATATTCTTAATAGGTACTGCTTCCGGCCATCGTGTGAAACGATCAACACAAGTGAAAAGGTAAGTACATCCATTAGATTCTGGTAGGGGTCCTACAATATCTATATGGGCGTGGTCGAAACGCATGTCTGGGGCTAGAAAAGAGCCTAAAGGGCTTTTCGTGTGTCGCGTGACTTTGCACTTTTGACAAGCTAAGCACGACTGAGCCCACTCCTTAACGTCTTTGTTCATCCCAGGCCAGCAGAAACGTTGTGCGATAAGCCTAATGGTGGCTCGTACACCTGGATGGGAGAGTTTGTGCAACGTATTGAAGACGTTGCGTCGACAACTCTTCGGAACTATTGGGCGTGGTTGACTAGCAGAGACATCGCACAAAATTGTATTTTTGTCTGATCCAACTGGACACAGTTGCAGCTTGAGAGTTGTGGACGACAACTCATGATGCAGCTCAAGGTCTTCCTTTTGACACCGAGCTAGTTCAACGAGATCAACGCCCTCGATACCGTTTATCGAAGCTATTCGAGATAGTGCATTAACTGCGGAGTTATTTGCTCCAGAAATGTGGCAGATGTCTGACGTGAACTGGGAAATGTAATCCAGCTGTCGCGACTCACGGGGGAGTATTTGTCAGACGCCGAGCTAAGAGAAAAGGCTAACGGTTTGTGGTCTGTGAAAATAATGAAATCACGACCTTCCACCGAATGTCGAAAATGGCGTACAGAACAGTACATAGCTAGGAGTTCCCTACCAAATGTACTGTATCTTGTTTCCGCGTCTTGCAGCCGCCTCGAGAAAAAGGCTAACGGTTGCCACTGGTTGTCAGTCAACTGTTGCAAAACTGCTCCAATTGCTGAGTCAGATGCATCAACAGCAATACTCAAAGGAGCATTGGGGTCATGATGCATGGGCATGGTTGCGTTCGAAATGGCTTTTTTGACTTTAGAAAAGCAAGTCTAGCCACGTTGTCCAGAGCCACGAACTTCGTAGTTCCTCGAAGTAGATCTGTTCGTGGTCTCATGACACAGGCACAGTTGGGAATAAACCTTTGGTAATAACTTACCAGGCCATTGAAAATGCGGAGATGTTTCACAGTGGTCGGCTCTGGATAGTTTGTGATAGCCGCCACTTTATCTCTCAATGGGCATATACCTTTGTTGTCAATGGTATGCCCAAGGAAGCTGAGTGATTCAACTCCTATTTCACACTTCTGTAAGTTGACTGTGATGCCATGTTTCTTAAGTCTTTGGAATGCGAGGTCCAAATGTTTAAGGTCAGTTTCCTTATCTGGACTCTCAATTAGACAGTCATCGATGTAGACGTGGACAAAATTTAAACCTCGGAAGACATCATCCATAAAGCGTTGGAATGTTTGTGCTGCATTCCGAAGACCAAATGGCATGCGCAGGAATTCAAACAGGCCAAAAGGAGTAATAATGGCTGTTTTCGCGATATCTTCTGCTGCCATAGGTATCTGGTTGTACGCTTTGACCAAATCGATTTTGGAGAAAATGTTCATTCCGCATAAGGTTGCAGTCAAATCGTAAACGTGAGGTATCGGGTAGCAGTCCGGAGTTGTTTTGGTGTTAAGCCTTCGGTAATCACCGGTTGGACGCCAGTCGTTGCTATCCTTTTTGGGAACCATGTGCAATGGTGATGCCCAAGGACTGCTTGGCGGTTTGATAATGCCCAGTTCGGGCATGTGGTCGAATTCGCTTTTCGCCGTTTTGAGCTTATCGGGGGCTAAACGGCGCGCTTTGGATGCCACAGGTGGACCTGTGGTTGTGACGTGTTGCATAACATTGCTGGTTATGCACGGAAGAGTGTGCTTCGTTTATTTTAACTCTGGATATTTCTCCAAAACTGCTTGGTAGGACGCGTCGCCTGATTGTTTGGTTCTAACGATGGCTAAACTATAATCTACGTAGGTGATGCCACTAATAGATAACTTTGTGTTGTTATCTATCAGTCGTCGACGGCGAGCATCTACGAGTAAATTGTAATGGTTTAGCAAATGTATGCCGATGATGGGCATAGAAACATCAGCCAGGAGGAAAACCCAGTGAATAGGTTTACGTATACCTAAGTTGAGGTAGGCATACTGTCTCCCAAATGTCACGACTGCCTTGCCGTTGGCTGCCTGGAGATTGAAGGATGGGTCGTGATGACGCTCCTTTTCCGGTGCGGGAAGAATGCTAACTTCTGCGCCGGTGTTGATGAAGTAGCGGACCTTTGTTTTTACATTGGTGACGTAGAGGAAACGGCTGTTTCCGCCGGCTACGGTCGCCGTGAACACATGCCGGCGTGGCCGTTTTCTTAAGTTTGTGTCCTTGTTAAAACTCCATGGCTTCCGGCATTTCCTGTTAGGTTTAGTTTCGGACAACCGCACGAGTTGCTGCGATGCGCTAAGATGCGTTTCTGTGAAGTGCTCCGTAATCTAGGACTTCGAGATGGTAGCAACTGTTTAACAGGGTTTCACAGCTTGGTCACCTCTGAATCCTGACTCTCTGGTTTATCGCGGGCAGAATATAAGTTTGGGACGGGTCTGCTAGAGATCTGCGGAATTCTGTCTGCCGAGGCTGCCAGGTCATCGAGTGGGATTGACTGCCGTGTCACTAACATGGTTTGCACCGGTTGTGGTAGTTTTGAGAGAAATAGTTCTCGGAAAAGGCCATCGTCAAGTGTTCGTGCACCCATAACTTCTCGCCTGCGTGCGAGGACTTCAGTAGCTGGGTGACTGCCTAGCTCGATGTTCCGAAGTAATTCGTCTAGGCGTTGGCGATCTGTGAGATCGCTTTTCTTCAAGCGTGCGGCCTTGAGAGGTGCATAAGGATCACTTACTTCGGGACTAAACATGTGTGCTGTAACATGCCTGTTTAATTCCCGCGGTAGTGAACGTATGATGGCAAGAAATCGAGAATGAGGATCTGCGACCCCCTGTTCTTGAAAATCTGCCTCGGCAAATAGAAACCATGTTTCTGAATTGTCTGGCCAATATGGCACGGGTTGGATAGTGTTCATAGTCGGCTTAATGCA